TTTTTTTTTTTTTTTTTTTTCAGTATTTTGAAAGGGAATATACTCTGACTTGCTGGAACTTCCAGTGGCTAGTTATTCGTCCCTCGTCGAAATATTGATGTGTCAGCTGTTCCTTCAACAGCAACCGCACCTCAATGACATGGAGGACGAGGCAAAGTTTGTCTCTTGTGTCCTTTTCATTGCAGAATTATTACCTTTTGATGCAATTATCGATTTGGATTGATTCCCTACAAATATAGGAGACCATGTGACACGATATTATTACTTGACCAACAAAACATAGTTCATTTTCGTATTATAAATAAATTACAATATTTAGAGAGGAAGCCACATCAGCCTTAACTGGTTTTCATGCAGGTCCTCTATCCTGGTCGAAGTGGAATTTGGAAATGTTGATTTTTGTGGAGAGAGGAAAACCGGAGAACCTGGAGAAAAACCCTCAAAGCAAGGCGAGAATCAACTACAAACTCAACCCACATATGGCACCGGGCTGGAATCGAACCCAAGCCACATTGGTGAGACGCGAGCGCTCTTACCACTGCCCCATCCCTGCTTCCCTCTATTATTTTTTATTTGAGAATTATCAAAAACAATTTTGTTATGTCCAGTTACAACGACCAAGATAAGGGTAGTTTCATCTCCATGTACCACTCCCGATAGGGGTATAAGTATACTTGTACGTCCAGTGTTTAAATAAGAAAGTTCAAAATCTGCGGCTGGTAGATCATCGAAATAGCTGTTATTACAGTTGAGTCTGCGGTCAAAGATTCCTTTGATTAAGCCTTTTCCGCCCAAGATCCCAAATATTGGCGTTGAGTTGTCGCGCTCTTTGTATCACTTGTGACGTCATCAATTTATTTGTCACCAGATATTCTTGATAGGCAGATGGTAGAGCTAGGATAAACTTATTCGCAAAACCGGCGGGTTTGGATTTCGACGGCATTCTGACGTAGCAAATCGAAAAACAAAGTGAAAAACTTGTTGTAAAATGGTCCATTATACCTATAATTGGTCAAGGTCCCATTTCAGGGCTTTGTCCATATTGAACACCCAACTTTTTACGGCAGCCAGAAAGAATATGAAACGCAAAAGGAAACGAGAGTAAAAGGGCCGAGAAAAAGGAAAGGAAAGGGGCAAGAAAAAAAAATTCGCAACGGGCAATCGCAAAAGTCAAGGTATACAAACGAGGCGAAAGGGTGAATACAAGGTAGAATGGACCCTGTAGCAATTTTCGTTGTTTTTTATTTCACATTTTGCGTTACCTCTGGGGATTATATAATCTACTCAATAGTTCTTTACTTATCATCATTTTACATGATTTGGTATTCATTTTTCGCCAGTGCTTGTTAGCGGCTGGAAGTTAAGTTTCTCCGGTTTCTACAGCGTTTTGGGCTAGCATTTTGCTTGTTTTGAGCTTCTGAATTGTTTTTTTTTAAGAGTTTAATCCCTGTTCGACTTGCCACAGTTTGTAAGTTTATTTTATACCGCTATCAGTTTTTTGTGGTTATATTTTTGTATTTGGGTATTTTGACTTGTTTATTTTTCAGTTAAATCACTCACTCCCTCACTCCCTCCCTCCCTCACTCACTCACTCACACAATCTCGCGCGCGTACGCGCACAATGATTAACTGTGGTGTTCGTTCTATAGCGTCTACCTACAGACCCTATCGCCTTGTTTGTTTGTCAAACCGCTGCTAACTGTAATAACAGACAAAACTGGCCAACCGCGAGATTAGACAAAGAACAAAGAATGTAACACAATAGGAGTTCGAGGGGGGGGGGGGGGGGGGGGGTCTGTGAGTCAATGTTTTCACTACACTTTCGAATTTATCATTCCTGAGACAAATCCTGTCCATAGACTGATGCAAGGCTTTGTGAATTAGTCTTTTCAAGGCCCTGTTCTGTCACAGCTAGTGTGGTCTTCTTGTGGCACAATAGCAAATATTTCCATAGAGCTCCATACTTATTAATTATGCATACTCGTAAATAGAACGCCGAGACTCGCAAACTCGCATGCATAATTGAGTACAGGGTTAGATGGAAATACTGTTGCTTCTTTAACGAGTACATAAGATGACAGTCAAACCTATAGCATTCCAAACGACTAACAGCACAAACTTGCCCATGTAAGAACAACGAGAATACGCCTTTTTAGTCTGGTTTTCAAGGCCATAACTCAAAAGCACATAAAGCATGTAAGGTATGTGGTTGCAAAGACTGAAGTGCTGCAAAGCAACGCTAGCACCTTTTGTTCGAATATTTTCCGCTCTGAAGGCGTTACTACGAGCCATAAGAACGTTTGCCCAGGAGGCAGGTCAGCGTATGTCACTTGTGCTTATGATTTCTCGAAGTAACACTTTACTTTGACAGCAAAACAAACTATCTACAGCAGTTTAAAACAGTTTAACGACATTGTGGAAATGGTTCAACTTCTGAAGCACATCAAAGGCATTCAAGGACATCGGCTGTTTGTATTGATTTCAATTTCTGCGTGCATCACTGTGTTCATTGTGTACCGGAATACAACATTTTTTCCCGTTTTAAGGTAAGTACTCAAGACCAGCATGAAATAACTGACGATATCATCCCTTGAAAGTTTAACTTGACTCCTGACCCTCATACAAACAGCGAATCAATGCTTTACTGGTCAGATTGTTCATCGGTTTATATTCTAAATAACCATTGAGTGGTTCACTATAAGCCTGAGTAAAATTCTGAATAACTAGTAGCCGCACTGGCGTTCCTGTTCGCCTCAAGTGATTAAGCGTTCAGCTTAGTTCAAGGTTGCCTGAACAGTGTTCAGCTTAGAGGCCAGTCAAGTTATTTACGATTAGCTCTAAAGATTTATTAACTCACTGGAAGACATAACATGCCGACTAATTAACCTCAAGGGTCTATAAGACGCAGCCAGCCACTAAATTAATATCCTTAATTAAGGGAGTACAAACATTCTCATATCCTGTAACTATGGTTGTTCTGTATAATAATCCTCAGTGAAAACATGGTAAACACAATGTTTACATATTTTGAACTGACTGACATGGCGCATAACTATAGCTTCTGTCGTTTTGTAAAGTTAGAGAGCACTCACATATTATAATATGTGTTCGTTTGATCACCTGACCACCCATTGTATGTGCTCTTTGTGGTTTCATTATTGCGTATTTTGTGTAACAATAGCCCTTTTCACGATTAATTTTTCTCATTTGCATTACAATGTAATCCAACGTGGATGAGAGTCAATTTCGGGCTAAAACTACAAAATAACCCGAAATTGCCTCACATACATGCTAGGTTTATCAATTGTAATGCAAATGAGCAAAGGTAACCGTGAAAAGCTAGGGCTATTTAGTGTTGGCAGTAGCCTATTTACATTGTCGTGTAGTTGCGGTCAGATAAAGAACGGAACATTTTAAGGAATAATATGGTACCAAAACAAAAAAATAAATAAATGAGAGCAAATGTCTGAATAATGGAATCAACGGTCAATTAGAGGAGTACTCAAAGCAACAGATTAAATCAAATGAAGAAATTTTGAAGCAATTATGCAAATTATTTGTCCTGTTTTGATAATTACCGTCGCTTTCAAGTTTTCAGTCGCGCGTATATGAATTGACAGTTCTTTCAGATGGATAAAAGAACAATTCTCTAAAAAATATAGCAGAAAAAAGTGAAGCCTTGGAGCCCATGGCTCATAGCTGCCGAAGCTTATCGCGGTTTCTGTAGCATGAAGCGGCTAGGAGTATTCCTACTCCCCCCGTAAGGGATGCTAGTCCATCGCAAGTCACTCCTCCGCAATTTGTCAGGTTTCCCCAACAATTCGCCGGTACCCATTTATACTCCTGGGTGGAGAAAGACACTGTGAGGGCTCGAACCCGGACCGCTCGCTCCGGGGACGATCGAGCGCACTAACCATGAGACCACCTCGCCTCCCACATCTAAAAAATATAACGTGATCCTTAATAAGAAAACAAACCAGCAAGACGTTTTCTTTCGTTTCCCGTTAAATTTAATGCGATATGTTTTATTCGTTACCTCCGCAATCAATGCATGACGAGTGTTTTAATTGGACGAGGGTTTGTGATGAATTTTCACTGCAGTTTAAAGTAACAAAATTTGGTCTTCACAATTTAGGGAAGAAACTCCGTATTTTGGCAAAAATAAAGCGGGACTCCGCGTTTTAAATAAGAATATCGGGGGTGGAATTTAGGAATTTTGAAGAACATTGTAAGAATAAACCCGGCGCTGAGATTTTGAAAAAAATGAAATTTTGTGTGTTAATTATATATGCTTTTTACTAAACCGTACTAAATTCTTCCTTTGTAAACGGCAAAACTAGCCAAAACAAAAAAACAAAACAAAAAGAAAAAACAGCACTAGCCGTATGCTCGATACTAATAACATTTCTGCAAGAAATTATGTTTGTCGTATGAGGCTTTCTTGTCTGCAGTCTGGCTCCAAAATTATTTCAAACGCCGCCATCTAGACAGCAAATTAAACGCTTGTCCTTTCTGCCCTAATACATTCTAAAATCGGCAGGAAATAGGAATATTGAGCAAGAGCCAGAAAAAAAGTAATTCCTGTAAAAAGAGAGTATTAAAATAAGAGCGTAAACCCTAACTTGTCCGAGTTAAAAATAAAACAAAAACCTCCAGTTTATATTAAACGAATTTAAGGGGATGCAAACTTTTCTGACACTAAATGTATTCGATTTAGCATAATAACAACAATAAATAAAACCACGGGAGGTACAGTTCCAACTACAAGTTAAAGTTATTAAAAGGACTCCTTTCATTCGTTCGTAGATCATCTTCAACCAGGCTACCTGATGTGTTGCGGCAGAAGATCGCTGAAACAGACGAAGTACCTGCTCATGATGTCTCAAGCTGCCAACCTATAAGCCATATTTACTACCTCAAAACTCATAAAACTGGCTCCAGTACCATTGGCACCATGATTCTTAAATATGGAATCATCAGAAACCGCACAATCGTTCTTGATCCGGATCTGGCAGATATGCAATGGCCCGCGCCTCTTGAGTTAAATGAAGTCTCGAGTCTAGTAAACAAAGACTCGGCAAAGATATTTTCCTCTCATATAAGATTCAATAAAGGACCGGTGAACACAATTTTCCCTAAACCAAAGGCAAAGTACATCACTATCCTTCGCAATCCTCTTGACCGTTTTAAATCTGCTTGGCTTTATTATGGTTTGTCGGGACGTGCAAGAGTTTCACCAACCGAGGGTCCTATAAATAAATTCCTGAGGTCGCCAAATGCTTTAGAAGAAATCAGGAAAAGACTTTTGACCACCAGCGTCTATAGAATATATAACCACATTTCGAACTCAAACTTATTTGACATGGGTCTTGAGCAAGAAAATTTACAAAACATGGCATTGGTTAAGAGATACATCGACAAGATGGAGGAAGAGTTCGACTTGGTGATGATAGCGGATTACTTTGATGAATCACTGATATTACTTAAACGACTGCTGTGCTGGGAATTTGAGGATATCGTATATGTTAAGTTAAGAGTGAAGAAAAGGAAACTAGAGTTTGAAGAAGAGGTGAAGAAAAACATTCTTACTTGGAATC